CCATCTCGTCCATTGACAGGTGTCTCATCTGATCTTGTCTCGAGAACAAGCGGTTGAACATCACCTTGTACATGCAAGACCCGATGATTGGTGTTCAAAGTGGAGGTGGACCTCTCACCAAAACTATCACATTGATGGAGTGGTTTGCTTGTCACTGGAGGTGACAAGCTCTTCTGCCATAGTTGGTCATTCCGACCACCGGCGGGAGAAAGAACACTATTAGTAGGCGTTAGGCCTATGCCATCTAATGGCAAAGCTCTTGACTGCACTACTGGTCTACCTAAAGACCGTAGGCGTTGATCCACCTCATTTGCATTTTTGTTGACTACTTCAAGCAATTGACTGAAACGTCTATCTAGGCGAGAATTGAGACAGTCCATCTTAGAATTTACCTGATGAGTATTTGCCCGAGTCTCTTCCAACATGCGGCGGTCCTCTATCAGCATTTTGTGAAGTAACTTGATGTTGGTGGTTATATCAACACTTGGTGCCGCCGGTGACGAAGTCTCCACCACGCCATTGTTTCCGGCAAAATCCTTCATCTCTTGGCCAAATTCAAACTTAGCCACGTGCTTCTTCACAAGCCCAGGTAAGAGATCACCTTCTTGTTGTCTCTGTCTTGGAGCCATCAAATCAAACATAAGGTCCCACCAGGTGTGCCAAATTGTTTTCCCAGCGAGAAAAATAAAGATGAACAGAATTGGATTTGCACCTTTGACTTCCAAACAAACGATTAACAAACACGGTCCACACCTCTTTGAACAAAGTTCAAACAAGGGTGTTCGATGTTCTTGGTGATCTACGAGGCAAACTAAATTACATTAATTCTACTTCTATGGAGGTTCAACGAGAGCTCCAAAACTACAACTATGGCTATGACTACATTTGCAGAGGAAAAGGTAAAGATAAAAGGATAAATTTGACAATAGGTTGTCTGGTGTGATTTTGGCGAACCCCTTCTCTGTCATCTTCACCTCCTATTTATAGCCATAAGAAGTAACTGCCACAAGAAATTGCTCTGCTGACGTGGAGTGACAGTTACCCTCTCAACTCCTTTGACGGTTACCTTGACGTTGGATGTAAACCAATCTTGGCCTCTCCTCTTGAGACCTCACTCCATGCTCTTGGTATCACCTCCGTAGCTTTGCTTGTCTATAGATAAAAATGGCTAAGGCATGAAAGCAGACCACGTGCCACATATGGGTGGATACTCGAATCACTTGAGTCAAAAATGGCAAAAATACTTCACCATTACAGGAGTAGGGAGACCACGTGCCCACCTGACCCCCCTTGACGACCTCACGAGGGTGATGTCTTGGTAGCCCCCCTTGGCAACCTCATGGGGGCGATGTTGACCACGCCCCTTGGCCATACCATGGGGCGTATGCTGGTGACCCCCTGACCATACCACAAGGGTGGGTATTAATCACCACCCTGATCATATCATGGGGATTGCATGCTCATAGTGGGGTGTGTTGATGGCCACCCCCCGATCATCTCATAGGGGGGGGGGGGGGGGTCTCCTTGCCATCCTTGGTGATCACCCTCGTGTCATATCCTGTATGAGGATCACCCCCTGATCATACCATGGGGCCCCCATCCTTCTCCATACTTAGTCGTATTTCACACCCCATGGGGGTTGGTAATATGACCCCCTCACTACGTCCTGAGTCACCCCCTTACCACGTCATGGGGGTGGCAATATGGTACCCACCCCCTTGGTACCTCCTGGGGGTGGCAGCATGATGCCCACCCCCTTACCACGTCCTGGGGGTGGCATGATGGTGGCCACCCCCCTTACCACGTCCTGGGGGTGGTATGATGCCCACCCCCCTTGCCACGTCCTGGGGTGGCATGATGGTGGCCACCCCCCTTGGGTGTCATGGGGGTGGCTCTCATACTTAGCCAAATTTGGAGATACATGGCGTGCGTGGTGGCACGGAGTAATGGGCCCAAAAAACCCAATCTCCATGGCCCACTTAACTGATTTAAACTGATATGGTTAACTTGGCCTTATAAAGCCATTTAATTCTTTGTTTTTAACCGATGTGGTATAAGGTTAATTTTTATGGGTAAAAAGTCAAAAATCAGGATAGTAAATATAAAAAATCAAAGGTGGCAAAAGATATATGTATTACATAACTAGAGCTGTTAACACGAGGATTGGAAATGAATGCAGATGAGATAAATCATGAAACTTAAGAAAAGAATGGCAGATTGAAAGACCTTGCAAAGCAAGTTCACCCAACTTAATGAGTCTTTGAGCCATAACTATCGTGATTTTTGGGAAACACCACGACAATTAATAGAGTAGCTGAGCTGCTCAACGAAAAGAACCTAACATAATCTTTCTTATGGAGATTAAGTTACAAGAACATGAATGAGAGGATGTTGCAAGAGATACGGGGGAGCGGTTTAGGTCAGTAACTCTATGGCGAGTAACCATGAGTAACCTGTCCACATCAGCATGACATCAGTAGCCTCTCTCTCATGGAAAGTCTTTTATCTTTTCTCCTTTAATCTTTAACGGACGATTTCTCTCTCGTTTTAAGTCGAAATTTAATTTTTTTGCACAGATAAATCAGATTAAATATGCTCTTATAATGATATCCACTTTGATATATTTTTAGTACAAAAAAATTGAATAATTTTTTACCAGTCATTACCACATGGTATGCTCCAATTTAATACCATATGGTAAGAAAGCGTACCATGATGGTATGATCTTCAAAATGATATCCACTTTGATATATTTTTAGTACAAAAAAATTGAATAGTTTTTTACTAGTCATTACCATATGGTATGCTCCAATTTAATACCATATCTAACTAAATTATGAATAATTTTTTTTGGTAATTAATTATGAATAATTTTTTGGTACATATAGAGTGATAATTTTATAGTCATATATTTAATTTACAAAATTTTCGTAAATAAATAATTATATCATGAATGATTTAAACAGTTAACAAAATTATTTTATCATATATATTTTTCTAAATGGACCCACCCTCCATAACATCCTTGCTATGCCCCTGTACCCATGACCCGTCCCACGCTACTGCAAGTCAGGTAATACCCACCCTATCGCGGATCAGATTGGGTAATACTCGCGGGGCGGTTTCAAAAGTGGGGTCTACGACAAGAAACCAAAAATACTATTCTAACTAATAAGTTTGATGAATGCGGAAAATAAAAGAGACACGATGTTTACGTGGTATCCTCGTTCAACATGAACGAGACTAATCCACGGAGAGTAGAGCTCTCAGTTTAGGGTTTTCACTAGCTGTGTTCTTGGCAAGGTACAGACTGCGCAAGACTCTAATGTGAGCTAGGGCAGCCGAGAAAGCAAAACTCTTATACCCTTCGACGTAATCTGCGGGTATAAGGCAAAAGTTCACAAAGGCAACAAATAAAAATAACAGTTACAAATGAGTCCCTCTAATACTCCCCCTCAAGCTGGAGCATGAAGGTCACGAATGCCCAGCTTGGATAAGAGCAATTGAAACTGATCTGTGCCCAAAGCTTTAGTGAATACATCGGCCAGCTGCAAATGAGTCCCGATCTTGCGTGGAGCAATCTCACGAGAAGAGACCCGTTCGCGGACAAAATAGCAATGGAAAATAGGATTAGCTGCGATATGGAGAGCTGCCTGATTATCACAATAGAGAATAGTCGGACCTGCTTGAGGAACCTGGAGCTCGCAAAGGAGGAAACGGAGCCAGAGGACTTCACTCGTGGTACTGGCCATGGCACGGTACTCGGCCTCAGCAGAGGAGCGAGAGACAACGCGCTGTTTCTTGGCGCGCCATGATATCGGTGCCCCACCAAGATGAATATAATACCCAGTAGTCGAACGTCTGCTGCACTGACAGCCAGCCCAGTCTGCATCGCAGTAAGAAGTCAACTCCAGATCACCAGGGGCAGGAAGAAACAAACCTTGACCAGGAGCTCCTTTAAGGTAGCGAAGGACACGAAGTGCAGCATCCATGTGCGCAGGACTCGGAGAGACTGAGAAGATTAACAGCATAGGATATGTCGGGACGGGTGATAGTGAGATACAGAAGGCGCCCAATGAGTCGACGATAGGAACTCACATCATCAAGCTATTCTGTAGTTGGTCGCGTAAGAGTGTAATTTTGCTCCATCGGGAAACCACTCGGGCGAGACGCTGTGACTCCTGCATCAGCGAGAATATCAAGCGTGTACTTACGCTGACTGAGAACAATGCCTTCAGGGGAGCGGGCGACTTCGTTGCCAAGGAAGTATTTCAGCGGACCCAAGTCCTTAATACTGAACCGCTGGTTGAGAAATGATTTAACCCGATCAATGGTAATTGTGCTGTCGCCAGTAATAACGACATCATCTACATAGATGAGAACAGCCACAAAGACACCATGAGCCTGGTACAGGAAAAGGGAGTGGTCGGCCTTGGACACTTTGAAGCCGAATTCCAAGAGGGCTTCGGTGAACTTAGTGTACCAATTCCGAGATGCCTGCTTTAAACCGTACAAGGACTTCCGAAGGCGGCAAACACGATTGTCGCCAGGTTGAGCAAAGCCCTGAGGAACCTTCATGTAAACCTCTTCTTCGAGATCGCCGTGAAGAAAAGCATTGTTGACGTCCAACTGATGTAGAGGCCAATTACGCTTAGCAGCGACCGCCAACAAAACACGAACAGTGACCAGTTTGGCTACTGGTGCGAAGGTGTCATGGAAATCTACACCTTCTAGCTGAGTAAAGCCCTTGGCCACAAGTCTCGCCTTGTACCTCTCTACTGAACCGTCCGGCAAAAACTTGATCTTGTAACCCATTTTGAGTCAATGGCCCGCTTCCCAGGAGGAAGATACTCTAACGTCCAAGTACCCTGTGCTTCCAGTGCAGTTATCTCTCGTTGCATAGCAGCTCTCCATTCAGCATACTTGGCGGCTTGAGCATAAGTACGAGGCTCGAACATTTGATCCATGACAGCGAGAAAAGCAGTATGACGATCAGAAAATCAGTGATAATGCACAGAATGAGAAAGCGGGTAGCGAACATTATGAGAACTGGTGTTAGGGAGATGTACCTCATAAGAATCAAGATGATGAGGAGGACGTCGATCGCGCGTTGGGTTCCGACGTGGGACTATAGGAGGAGTTGCATCCGACTCTATGGCTGGTACGATGGGCTCGTCGGCAGCATCGTGGACTTGTTCCTCACTCAAAGTGACATTGTGTGGTTCCGTGAATGATGAACTATCAGAGGAGGAAGGGCTGCTGAGAGGAGAGGCATCCACGTCTAATAATTCCAAGGAGTCAATAATGGCAGGAGAGGACGAGGGCATGTTCTCATGAGGTGCCAGCACATTTTCAAGATCAACGTCACCTATGGAGTCAGCGGGTTCATCATCATGGTGCAATGCATCACCCATTGGTGCATCCATGTCGTGCATGGCTGGAAATGACCCATGCATGTCACGAGGGAGCTGTGTGAGAGAGAGAGTACCACGGCCAGCCGACTTGAGTTGAAAAGGGAAAATGTTTTCCACAAAATGAACATCCCTTGACACGAATATTTTCTTGGTACGAAAATCATAGATGCGATACCCCTTTTGAGTGCCGGGATAGCCGATGAAAACGCCAACCCTCCCCCTTTCAGCAAACTTATCCAGGCCGTGATGAGTGTCTTTAGCATAGGCGAGACACCCAAAACATCGGAGATGGAAATAAGTTGGCGATCGGCCAAGGAGAATCTCGAAAGGGGTCTTACCAGATAGGACAGGGGTGGGCAAGCGATTGATCAAGTATGTGGCCGTGAGAACACACTCACCCCAAAAACGGACAGGAAGACCGGCATGAAACATAAGAGCACGGGCGGTTTCCAGCAAGTGACGGTGTTTTCGTTCAACGACACCATTGTGCTGCGGAGTATCCGTGCACGAAGTCTGCAAGAGGATGCCGTTCTCCTCATAATATGCACGGAGAGTAAGGGTCTGAAATTCTGGGCCATTATCGGTCTGAATACGACGAACCTTCCGGTTATACTGAGTACAGGCTAACTCACAATGCATTTTGACATATCGCTCAACATCATACTTGAATCTCAACAAATAAACCCAAGTAGAATGACTGTAGTCGTCAACAATAGTCAAAAAATACCGAGAGCCATCAAAAGCTGGTGTCTTATAGGCACCCCTAATATCCATGTGAAGCATGTCGAAACAACCAGTAGTTTTTATCGAACTAAGAGAGAATGGGAGGCGAGTTTGTTTAGCCTTCAAACAAGAATCACAATGTGAGGAATCATGTGAAGTGACATCACAATCCAAAAACTCTCGTAAACTAGTGAGCTTGTCTAGGGAAGGATGACCAAGCCTGCTGTGCCACAAGCTCGAAGAAATCCCAGACCGCTTCACCGCACACGCCTGGAAAACAGAGGGCACACCATGGCGCGGCAAGTAGTATAACCCATCCTTAAGATGACCCACTCCAATCAGCATCATGGAAGGTAAGACCCGGAGGATGCAGAAGTCATGTAAGAAAGTCACAACGACATTATGATCCTATGCCAGCCTGCTAAGTGATAAAAGGTTGCACTGAAAAGCCGGTACATGTAGAACTTTGGAAAGCCGAATAGAACTGGTAAAATTAAGTGATCCCATCCCGCGAACCGGGATACCCGACCCATCAGTAATGCAAACCTGTGACTGAGCAAGACCCGTATCCAAAGAATCCAGCCAACTAACGTCACGAACGATGTGTTCGTTACACCCAGAGTCAAGCAACCACATATCAAGTTCAGAATAGTTACCCGCCATGTGTGCAGTCGGCGTCGATGAGGACTCGGAGGAAGTAGTGGTCAAGAAATCCCTTAGCTGCTGAAATTGTGTAGCCGACAGGCCTGGTATGGGAGACGCGACATCGGGCTCGACGTGGGCAGCCTTGGGACGTCGCGGACTTGGATTGGAGCGCTCGTCAGGAGGTTTGGTGCGTGGGTGCCCAAGTGGTCGTGTGTTCGAATCTCCACGACCTCCAATATTAACCGTTGTCTTCAAGCACATGGTATGGTGGGCCTGTGCAAACTTCAAGCCCGTAAGTTGGCTTTCGTTTGAGGGGGCGTGTTAGAGAATGCTATAAGATCCAACATAACCTTCTCCCAACAACTCGAGTTATTGGGATCAACTGGTTTATGACATGGTATCAGAGCAGTAATCGCGATCCCGATTGTTCTACCTCCTTCACCATGGCCAAGGACAAAGAGATGACTTTCTAGGGCAAAGACACAGCTCCTATAGAAGACGTCATCCCGCTGAATCCCCCTCTCTATCTCCATGCCTCGGAAGACCCCGCTCGATTATTTGGCAGCGACTTGCTCAATGATTCGAACTATGGGGAATGGGTGAACGACATCACGGAGACCTTGATTGCTAAGAACAAATTAGCCTTTGTTGACGGTTCCCTCCCACGAGCTCAAGCCGGATCTGCTGTTCGCCGTGCCGCGTGGGATCGTTGCGACGCCACTGTCAAGGGCTGGTTAAAGACCGCCATGACGAAAGAAGTTCGGAATAGCGTTCGCACGGCTACCACGGCGCAGGCTATATGGTCCGACCTGCAACGTCATTTTAGCAAGGGCTCTGCCCAACGCGCCTATGAGTTGCGGCGCAAACTCAGCGACTTCCGTCAAGAGAAGCAATTCGTCTCCGCCTTCTACACCAGTTTGCGCGCCGTTTTGAATGAGATGCACTCGATACGAGGCGTCCCTCGTTGCACCTGCAATGGCTGTACCTGCGGCGGGTGCTCTTGCAACTGGATCCAGAACTATCATGCCACGCAAGCCACCGAGCATTTGTTTGAGTTTCTTATGGGCCTCGACGATGCTTACTCTGTCGTCCGTTCGCAAATTCTGGGCACTAAACCTGTTCCTACACTTGCTGATGCTTACCAGATGGTGGCGGCTGAAGAGCAACACCGCAACATCACCATCCAGCGTAGGCCCGTTGTTGAAACGGCTGCTTTTCAGACCCAAATTGGTTGTGACCAGCGGGAGGAACGTGACCGCATCCGTTGCACCAATTGCAACAAACCAGGCTCTGATACCATAATAAGTTTGATGAATGCGGAAAATAAAAGAGACACGATGTTTACGTGGTATCCTCGTTCAACATGAACGAGACTAATCCACGGAGAGCAGAGCTCTCAGTTTAGGGTTTTCACTAGCTGTGTTCTTGGCAAGGTACAGACTGTGCAAGACTCTAATGTGAGCTAGGGCAGCCAAGAAAGCAAAACTCTTATACCCTTCGACGTAAGCTGCGGGTATAAGGCAAAAGTTCACAAAGGCAACAAATAAAAATAACAGTTATAAATGAGTCCCTCTAATACTAACATCACAAGCGGGGTGGAAGACTAAAGAGCAATCAGAAAGGAGAACTCAAACTGTGACTATGTGAGTCTAGCAATAATCCAAAACAATATGGTACATTATCTCTCTAGCTTGGACTCTAGGGATCCCTCTACAAATACTACTTTCACGATGGGAGGAGTTAAGAAGAAGCAAGGGGACAAAATGAAGTTGGAAAAGGATGAAAAAACATATAAAAAAAATCCAATAGGCCAATACCACAACAAATGACACGTCGAAGACGGAGTAATACTACAAACTACTTAGCATTGGCGACACCATATTGGTCAGGAATCAGGATAGTAAATATAAAAAATCAAAGGTGGCAAAAGATATATGTATTACATAAATGAATGCAGATGATATAAATCATGGAACTTAAGAAAAGAATGGCAGATTGACAGACCTTGCAAAGCAAGGTCACCCAACTTAATGAGTTTTTTGAGCTATAACTATCGTAATTTTTGGGAAACACCATGACAATTAATAGAGTAGCTGAGCTGCTCAAGGAAAAGAACCCAACATAATCTTTCTTATGGATATTAAGTTACAAGAACATGAATGAGAGGGTGTTGCAAGAGATATGGGATATGAAAAAAAGGAATGAGTAGGCTTACCTAGTGTGGAAATTGGGGTGGGTGTGGTTACTCGTTTTACATTTTGCGGGTACCCACACCCACAAATTTTCAATTATGCTACCTACAACCCGCAGTGGTTAGTAGGTTTGTGTGGGTTGGGTGTGGTTACCCACAAAAATTCATCTTTGCAAGTATAGAGTTCTAGTCGTCACTAACGTATTTGTTGTTCGTAAATAGACTATAATGATATACACTTGTGTTGTTCTTGGAGATACAATTTTGTACATCGATCTTACTCAACATGGTGATTTTTTCTTTTTGAGTTTTGTATTCAACTTTTGTGTCAGAGAGTTGTGATTTCATATTTCCCCGACTAGGGGTGAAATATGACAATTAAATATGATCGTGTATTTTTTTGGTAATATCTTGTATTTTTTTCACACAAAAGCAAAAACATACTGATAAAAGTTACAAAAAGGTGTTCACTTTTAATGAATTGATTATTCTCTACTCTAACGATTATAGTGTTTTATAAACTAAAAAAATTCTTACATAAAACTGATTAGGCGTGTCTTTTTTATTTGGTGGCTACTTTAATTTTTATCCTCACACTTGTCACATACTAATATATTAAAAAGTTAATTCACTAAATAAATATAATTATTGTGGTTATTGTGGATTTTGTGGGTTAACCGCGGTGGGTAGTGGATAACCACTAACCACAAAAATCGTTATTTTACTACCCACACCCAACCCACTACCCACAACTTGTGGGTATGGTTACCCACAATAGGTGCGGGTTAGTGCGGTTTGTGGATTATCCACAACCCACAACCCAAACTTCCACCCTAGGCTTACGTACATAATAGAGGAGGCATGTCGCTTGTTTGGAAAGAAGATGTAAAGGATCATAGTCAAATCAATCTCACTCAATCACATAGATGCTTGGGTGGATAAGGGGATGAATGAAAAGAATTGTCAATTAACAAGAATATATGGATGGGCAGGGAACGGAAAGAAACCCCAAACTGGCTAATCTAGCAATGAAACTCATAAACACAAAACACGAGGAGCACTTCCTTGTGCGATACATTCCTTCAAGTCAACCCAAACTTCCCTCGCCATTTGAGCATATTGTGTCCCTTGATGAACCTGTTTATCTATGGTTGATGTGAACCGTCCTTTCACCATGCCATCAGCTTGTCACCACCTCCGTAAATGTACAGCTTTCATTGGTGGAGGAAGAGAGCCATCAATGAACCCTAGATTATTTTTACATAGGATTTTAACTCGTCATATTGGGATCCGATTAGCGTATTTTGTCTCATTCAATAACTCCCTTGCGTACACTTGATATTTTTTTACAAAAGATAATCATATATATTGAATCATAAGAGAGATAGTTACACCATGGAGTTCAGTCAGGTATGAAAATCAAAGAAACGACTCGCAGTCGGGTACAAGGAAAGGACCTTTCTAGCCACCCTATGGGCTACCC